TGTAGCTAAACGTGGACGCGCACGTAATTGAGGATTTTTGCTATATCATATGCATGAGAGACAGTGTAGTAATTGCGAGGCAATTAATTGGCCATTTAATAATTTAGTTAATTATACATATATCGCGCTAGTAATCAATTACTTATTTAATTAATGATATACTTTATCTCATCTGCTACGTTCAATAGGAAGATTGCGAACCGCATTGTTCCTCTCGCAATTATATAATACGCCATTTGGGGTTAATAGCATCCTTGATAGAGTCATAATTTATCGTGTAAAATATTTTAATCGTAGTACAGATGTAATTTATGTTAATTTATACAATAAATTTCAGAGTAATTTAATGCATAATATCGAAATGTAAATATCATAGGAATTTAATTAAGAAGAAACTATATAGATTTAGTATACATGTATCTTTGATTTTTCAATAAGGATAATCCTACTCATTTTGATATGCAGGATGATATGCATAAAATATTATTAATTATTTTCTGACAAGCTATGAAGAATGGAAGGTCGGAACGTCAATTTTTTTTCGCAATCCGATTCGCTTCATAAGCAGTAATAAAACAGTAGAAAAAATATTCGTCTTCCTTAATAATCTTAGAGAAAAGGGGATCCTGCAGTGACTGGCGAACTTCCTCGATGTCGATAATGTCAACCTTTCTAATTTTGTTTTCCCTATATCTGTCTTTGTCTAACGAAATGACATCTGTCCTTTTTTTGATTGCTCACCATCTTACGCAAGATCCGGCAACTACTGTTGCTGCTCTTCTTGTCATCCTGCATCCGTATTTGCATTACTAAAATAATTATTAGATGGATCTTTTTTTGTACGCATTGAATCTTATTATACTTCTACTTACACGATATTATTTCTACATGTTTTCCCAAGGGTGGATGATAAACATTATGTACGTATAAACAGTAGAATTTTTGTTTTAAGCAAATATTGTCGTCAGGTGACAGCTGTGTATGTGCCCCAATAAGTAATATTTTTAATTTTTTGGTGCTTTTGATATAAAATCGCGTTTTCCACCCTAAATTTTTGTGCGGACTTTAATTTTAGACCAAAAACTTGCAATTCTGTAAAGCCAATTAAAAGATCCATCGATTAACGATAATGTCGGTAAATCATACGGCTGCAGGATCCCC